GAAGCTGCTGGAAGCAACCAGAGAGAGACAGCGCTGCCATGTGCAGGAGGGAGATGGAGAGTGCCCTGAGTGGAGACCAAGCAGAACCAAGCAGAGAGTGCCCTGAAGCGGAGGCCAAGCAGGGCAAGCAGAACATACCAGAAGGGGCAAGAGGAGATGCAGTATGTTATTCGTGTGGCCAAGAGAAGGAAACAACCCAAATGCCCATCAACTGGTGAAGAGCCAAGCAAACTGTGGTCTACCTGTACAACGGAATATTATTCAGACACAAAAAGGAATGAAGGGCCACCACCTGCTACCACTGGGATGAGCCTTGAAAACATTATGCTCAGTGAAAGAAGCTGGTCATAAACAGCACACATCGTGTAATTCCATTCACAGGAAAGCCAAAATAGGCAACTCGCTAGGGACAGAGGGCAGATCAGTGGTTGCTTAGGGCTGGGCAGGGTGGGCAGTGAGTGAGAGCCAGGGGGGGTCTTTCTGAGGGATGAAAATGTTCTAAAATTGATGGTGGTGACAGTTGCAAATCTCTGTGAATATACACAAAAAACCCATTTAATTGGGCATTTGAAACAGATGAATGATAGGATAGGTGAATTGTACTTCAATAAAGCTGTTTTGGGTTTTGTTGGTGGTGGGGTTTTTTGTTTGTTTGTTTGTGTTTTTACAGGGGATGCAGTGAGGAGGCTACTGCAATCTTCCAACTAAGAGGTGATGGGGGAGGGGCCAGAGCGGTGGAAGGGGTTGGGGAGAGGAAGAGGGACTCCAGGAACAGGGTTCAGGTGAGTGTGGGAGGGACATGGGCTGTTGGGGGGTAAGGGTGGTGGTGGGCCAAGCCAGGCCTGGGGGCTGCTGTCCTAGTCCATACTCTTCCCTGCAGGGGATGGAACGTGGAACTTTGGGACACTTTTCTCTTTAGCACATAATGATGCTATTAGAAGCATGACAACGTCCACTCAAAGGAAGGTGAAAATTTACCCTCCTGGATAGGGACAGACTTGAAGGAAAGCTTGGAAAATGGCATGTCCTTTTACCAAAGGACTGCAAACAATCGGGAGCTTTCGGAATAAAACCCAGCCTGCAATTTCGTTTGGTGGATACTTCCAAGGCGAAGTCCCTCTGGTGTCCACCACGGCTAGTGAATCACAGTGAAGACATGATTCAGCGCCCGGGTGCATGCCACATACATAATACCTTTCAAGAAGACATATTTTTATTGCTGCACTTAAGGACAGCCCCTCGGAATCCAGAGTCCATCAAATCAATGGATTGAGCGGCACAAAAGGCCCTAAGTTCACCTCCAGGGGGTCTCTCTCTCTCACAAGGCCACACCAGCCTGGGCTGCAGTTACCACAGAAGGCTCTTCTCCCTCTGTGGTGAAGCTGAACTTCATGAAGTTCAGGTCTGGAAATGCCCACTACATGTGACACCTAAATGTTGTGCTGAGAACTCCAAAGAGGAAAGGAAAAGAAAAGAAAAGAAAACAAAACAAAACAAAAAAAACAGTATTTATGATGGGTCTGTTATTTACACGGAAGTGCTTGTTGCTTGACAATTTAGATAAAAATGTTACTGCCTCTCTGCATGTGCTGCAAATTCATGGCGTAAAACCATTGGAGCAACTAATGGAGTCTTCACACATCATATGTCATTAAAGACGAGGGGTCCGTCCTCCACTGGAATTCAAAACCTGGCAGCCAAGCGCGGCCACACCTGGGAATGCAGCCTGGCCAAAACTCAGCTCTGACCAACTCCCCCCACCTCCTTTTTTTTTTTTTTTTAAAGGAAAAAATATGAACTCCGTTTTCAAACAGTGAGGTCCTATGGTAGCTGGTTTCCTGTTTATCCCCCTAGTCCACCAAAGGTGGGAGACACACCGGACAGTTATACAGGATTTGTATCTCCCTACTTCTGACTGACAACCAACCTATTTACTTCTGTGAGTCCTTGATAAACATCTTTAAACACCTGTCCATGTTTCTAGAAATCACTGAAAAAATTCCAGTGTCAAGGGTGTGAATGGGAAATTGATGGCTGGGCACCAAAAGATATTACTCAGCTGCTATTGTATTTCTAACAGATGTGGATAATGGGGTCATCCGTTCGCTTTACTATCTAGTTCATCATCCACGTATGCACTTTTAATTGAAACTTAACCTTTACATCCCACATTCCAGGCAGGAGCAGCACAAAAACACATCTCCGGAAGTGTAAATGGTATGAATTTCTTCCCGAGCAAATCTATAAATGAGCACTACCTTTAATTTTACGTTGAGTCAAAAACAAACTCTAAAATACTGGCCTTCTCATACCTGCTCCCACATTTCTGCTACTCCCGGGCAGGTTCCGAGGTGACCAAGCAGAGCCCCCGCTGCTCCTCTTCTAGACCCTGGGTGCAGTCCGGAATCACCTCCAAAGAGCCTGTTCATGGACCTTTCCCCAGCCGAGCTGCCAATCACCACCAAACTCTCCCAAGGAGGGAGAGAGGAGTAAATGTTAAGTCTACCCAACTCATTTCATAGGTGACCTCTGAAAGATTTCACCGCGGAGCTCGGGAGAGACAAGGCAGCTTTATTAGCATGCTGCACCACGGCTCGGCCCCCTCCCCTCCCTCTTTTATGAGCCCTTGTTATATAAAATGCCACAAAGGGAAAAAGAAAAACAACAGACAGTTCCAAACACAAGTTCCGATGGCCAGGCCCAAGGCTGGCTGCTTACCATATGTTATATTTAGTCATTTAAAAAAGAAACATTTTTAAAAGGCCAGAGAACAAAAGTTTTCCTTGTTCCCTTTCTTTCTGAACACACACTCAACACACACAAAAAGATGGAGGTACATTCCATTCGCAAGCATCCTTCCTTCCCCGAGTTCAAATTTAAAGGCAAAGACAGCCTGGAGTAGGAAAGCTCCTTCCCCGAAGCTGCACGGGAGCCTCCAAACACAATTTCAAATGTTTCTCTCAGCCTCATCGAAATTCCGGCATGACAGATAATAAATAGCTACTCATTTACTATCATCATAAAATTTTAAACAGCCTTGAAACAGTTGCTACAACACAGAAGAAATGATCAAACCCAAGCTCTGAAAAGCCACTCCAAATAGTAAAACTATTGCCATGTAGAAGCACACATAAAGACATTGTTGCAATAAAAGCTATGGATTACTGGATTCTCTCCCTCTCCCTCCCTCCCTCCCTCTCTTAAATCTTCCACTCAGAGCATAAGAGTCAACAACTTGTCGTTCTACCCAGTGAAAAAGGGCTTAGCATCCCTCGCTATCACACTGTACCGGATTTGGTGATGGGGTTTTTTCTAAAAAAAAAAAAAAAAATAATAATAATAATAATAAAGTATCTGATTTGATTCTACACAGCGATTAAACATCTTTGTGCTCAGCGAAGGGTCTTCCAACCCCTCCCCCTCCAAAAATGGCATCAAAGCAATCAAAATGGTAATGCCGGGCCTGGGTCCCCTCCCCCCGCGAACTCCCCGACTTCGCCGGGGCCGCGCGCCGGACCCCCCTCCGGCGGGAATGGAAGCTTCCACGCCTGGACGGGGGCGCGGGCCGGGCGGGCGCGCGCGGCCGGGGTGGGGGGGCCGCGGCACCGACAGAAAGGGGTTAATGCATTCGTCCCAACCCTCCCGTCCAGTCGGGCGCCCCCGACCAGGCGCGGACCCGCGGGGACAGCCATCTTTCTTTCCGCAGTCCCCGGCCCCCTCCTCTTCCGCACGCCCCCTCCCACCACTTTTCAACTTTAAAGACTCGAAATTTACACCCGGTCTCCGAGTTCTCCCGCTCCGCTGTCGCCGCCACCCCCGCCGATCTCGTCCCTGTCTCTCCCTCCACCGAAAACCCCTCCGGGGAGGGGGCATCGGATCCGCGGCCCCGAGTTGGGGGAGGACGGAGGGGGCCATCGCGGCGGCCGCAGCGGGGGCGGGGGTGGGGGCGGCGCTGTCCAAGTTTGGTGCTGACGGCGGCGGCCGGCATTCCGAAGGAAGCGCGATCGATGGCCAGGGGGCGCGGCGGGGCGGGGGCGGGCCCGCGGAGGGGAGGGGCCGCGGGGAGGGGCGCCGGCGCCCCCGCCCCCGCCAGCCTCGGAGCCCCGGGAGCGCCATTGGCTGCGCCGCTCAAAGTTCTCGGCTCCCGGCGGCGCGGGGAAGGGGCGGGAGCGCGTGTGCGGGGAGCGGGGCGCGCAGGGGGAGGAGCGGAGGGGGAGGGGCGCGAGCGGCGGGGAGGCGGGGGCGCGCGGCCGGCCGCGCTCTGGCGGCGGCATCTGTTCGTGGTGCTGAAACCCCGAGCGCTGAGCTCAGCGCAACTAAGTCACAATGGACAACTTTTCCTCCCCGGAGGGGCCGGGAGGGGGGTCGGCGGCCGTGCCCCCCACCGCGAGGCGCTCGTCGGGTGTCCCAATCCACGCCTGCAGGCCAGAGACCAAAGTTGGGGCAGAACTGGGGGGTCCTGGGGGCGCCTTTCTTTTGTTCCCCGGGAGCTGGCGTCAGGTTCCGAGAATAAAAAGTGATGCTGGAGAAGTGGAGGGGAGGGGGAGCCCAGAGGAACGATTCTTTAAATCAGATTTGCAATGGAATCCAGAAATCGCTTCCAAGGAGTTTGGTGTCCAGGTCCGAAATACCGCCCCCCGCCACCCCTACCCTCACACCGGCGTGAAGTGGGGGACACCGAGCCGGGAGAAATTGCCACATTCCAAAAACATGTCCACCAACTCAAAATGGACGCCGGGCTGCTCGCCGCCTTTTGAGCGCAGCTTCTCTCTTTCGGCCACTGCGGGAGCCTTGCTCTCCCCCCTCGGCCTCCAAGAACCCGGCTCTTTCTTTCCAGAAAAAGGGGGGGCGGGTAACTTTGAGGGCTGCAGACAGACTCCTTTGGGAGTCTGAGCGTGCGGCGCCGAGGCCGGCACTTTTTAGGGTGCTGCCAAAGTGCCGGGCGACCCCTCCTCCCCACCGCGGGCGGAGTTGGGGGGCGCAGGCTCCAGCTCGCTTACTTGTTTGTCGTTGAGCGCGGCGATCCGCGGCTGCCTTTCGTGGAGCTGCTTCTTGAGGTCGCCGTTCTGCGGAAACACGGAGGAGCAGGCTCAGGCCGGCCGCCCCGGGGGGTCGAGTGCGCCCGGGGCCCTGCGGGCCGCACCCCCCCACCCGGCAGCCCGCGGGTCGGGCTGTCCGCAGCGCGCCCCAAGTTCCCCGGGCTGCGTCCCGCACGCGCGGCGGCCGGGCAGTGCCGCGCGGGGCCGCTTACCTGTGGCTGCCGCCTCATCGGGGCAGCTCGCGGGGCGGGGCGGGGGCCGCGGCCACCCGGCGGCGCGCCCCGAGCCGTGCAAGTTTGCAGGCAGGGGTGCGTGTGCGAGTGAGTCTGAGTGTGACTGTGTGCCGGGGGAGGGGGGAGGAACAAAGAGCCAAGTAAACACGGCGAGTCCGTGTCGAGCAAAGCTCATAAATATTCAAGTCGCGTCCTAATCTCCCCAACACACACACGCGCACGCCGCAATTCCGCTCGGGCTCCGGCCGCCACGCCGCTGCTAGCCCGAGCAACAATCGCCAAAACTACTTTTGCAAACTGTGCAGGGTTGCACGGGGGTGGGGGCCGGGTGGGGGTCGGTCCACACTCTCACACAAACACCCCGGGGCAGAATCACGAAGGGGCCCCCTCCTGGCACCCTCAGTCCTGCAGACCCTGCGTGGAGAAAAAGAAGATGCGGGGCTCAGGTCCCGCGGGCTCCGGACCCCAACCCCCCCAAACTGTGCAAGACTGCAAAGAGAGGAGGCCGGAGGAGGAGCCCGGGGCGGGGGGCAGGGCACGTAAAAACTCCCCCCAGCCCCGGGGCAGGCTCGAGGAGGAGCCCTTTCCGGGCACCTTCAGCCCTGCAGACCCTGCCACGACGAGGAACAGGACGCTGGGCTCGGGTCCCTGAAGCCCCCCCAACCCCCCTACTCCTGGCCCGGGGCCCCGGGTCGCCTACCTGGTGGCGCGCGAGTTCCACGGCGAGCGCCTCGGGCCGGCTCTGCAGCTCCATCCCGGCAACTTGGGCAGCACTTTGCGCTCACTTTGGCCCCGGCTCCCGGGAAGTTGCGCGACTCCACGCGGGCAGGAGCGGGCGGGAGCGGGCGGGGGCGGACCGGGCCTCCGGGGAGGGAGGGGGCACGGGAGCCCCCTCCCCCAAGAACAAACGGGAGGGAGGGAGGGGGGTCTGGCGAGGGGGAAGAAAGGCGGCTGGGCGCCGCGGCGCCAAGCCCGCGGCCGCTCCAACTCCTCAGGCTGCCCGGCAAGTTGCGCCGGGTCCCCGGGCCGCCCGCGCTGGCCGGCGCATGGCCCCCAG